AGAGAAAACATAAAACTCGCCAGGAATATTTTCGATCCCAAGTAATGAAAATTTGAAGTAGACAGTAGTTTGAATCTGCATTATATACGAGGTACTGTTGATTAGATTCTTGGATTAACACAGCATTATAGATTGAATTTGTTTAAGTTCAAAATTAACTGAAGCCAAATACGTAGCATTTCCAGACGAACAGTCTAAATGAGATCTAAGATTGCAGGAAATTTATGGTTCAAACTCATCGTAAAGTTCTAGCATCCGTATCCTCTGTTTGACCATGGAACTCAGCAATTGGAAATCAGGCAGGCAGTGATCGAATGAAAAGTTATAAAAGGATAGTGTATAGTTTAGAACAGAAAGGGGGGTTGAGTGAAGAAACAGTATGAAGAATTAGATCCAGATAACTATTTAGTCCTTGTTTATGTTGCTAGTCAATGTATATTTACGTTATTTACAGCTCATATTTGCTAGAGCTTGATTTTTAAACAAGTTTATTTCGCTGAAGCATGTAAATGCTATTAAACCTTGCTAATGAAACATCAAGGCTAATTAATATAGACGACCAGTTATTAGTATCGATTGAGTTAGTATGCTGTGAGTACTAATCAATATAACATTACGATCATAAATGTGAGCATTAATCAGAGAACTATTAGAATAATGGGTTTACATAAATAAAAATCGATTGAGAAAGTTAAAGTGGAAATACGGATTAAAAATTATAGGTTGCGTTTCTTTAGTCGGGCTTATCAATATAGAATTATGGTCTACTATGATATTAGTACTGCTCTAATAATAGACCTAATCCTAAAATTGTAGATTTGTCACTTCGTGACCGCACACTAATTAAAAGGACAGTGGTATTTTTCCTCGCTGAGTAAATTCTATTGTTTTGATCGTTTATTATATATCAAGACTACTGTTTTCACTTTAATTGAATTTATTTCAGTTAAAGTATTCGATTAGAGTATCATTTCTGTTTCTAAATTAGTTTGTCGTCGGTACTTTTGATTACTTTGTTTTCTATTGTATCTGTTGGTACTTCTGAATCTAACAATCTACAGTTTTCCACCTCTTTTGGTCATCGATCATTTTTATCTCTGAGTATTATTGCATCTAGTTCTTTTTTTAAAAAAGACTCATGTTTAATGACTGGACAGGGCAAAACAAGCAATTGCCGAAGTTAACCCTGTCATTATCCCGTTGAAAGCGGCACGCAGTGCAATGGGTACAAGGGCTAGTACCACGAAGTTTGCACGAATTTGACGCCTGCGGCTTTCAAACGGTTCAGTAAAGACGGTTGCGTATGGCTTTGTCAACAGTGCTGTTTGGATGCAAACAGCTTGCTAACCGAGGCCATTTCATTGGTAAATGCTGCGAAAAAGTGTTTTGGCAAGCGTGGTCGGGACACATCGTACAGTACTCGCTCTGTCGACAAGCAACTTGGTGTGAAGTAAACTCAGGTGAGTTCGAAAACAGGTGACTCACACCGACCAAAGGAGGAAAAACAGTCTTCAAAGAAGTCTGTGTTAACCGAAAACTCAAGAAAATAAATTTCTTCTGTCCTCCGTCTTCTAAATGGTATCCAGCAGGAAACGCCTAAAAGCCGCAATCTCAAGGCTCGATCGGTTTCTAGCGGGAAACATAACCTGATCTCCCAAAATATAACTGCCTAATCTATAAGATCTTACGTAGAAGTCACATCATCATCTACACCAACTCACTGTTCGTAACAATTACCAATACATGATGGAGAACATGCTTAGGCTAGAGAGAGAACAATATATTTAATATGAATAAAAAATATAAGGCAACATTCTGTAGAGATCGCGCCTTCATGGCCAAGCCATGCCATCCGATCAACTCCAATTCATTCAACTCATTGTTCCCGCCTTTTCCATCTTTAGGTATTTCTCCGCGTTAAATATTGAAAATCTATTTTCCGAGTAGTCTCGTGTTCAGCTTTGAGGATTGTGTGGTTATGGTCCAATTCCACTACACATCTTTCCGGTCTGAACTGCCGCAGATACACATCAAACAGTATGGCTATAAGTTCAGCAATTAAATCCGACTGTGTTTTCATAATCCTTGGAAGAATATCATCAGGTTCACTAGACTTATAAGGTTTAAGATGGTGAAGTAGAATCCATCGACAAGCCGACGCAGTCACAATTAACCATTGTTCCACATTGCTGATAGTAATTCCATCACTTCTTTAAGTTTGCCTCTTACTATACAAGGAAAACCGTTCCGGACTAGTTTCACAATTCCTAACCAATTGTTTTTCATACGACTGATGAGTCTTACTTATTGACGCTTTACAAGAACTCCCAGTCCAACAGTAACTTGATTTATATTGTTCTAGGGCAGTAGATATGAATATATATTCCAATCCCTTTTCCTACGTCTAAGAAGCTTTTTGACTTGTTTAGTTGTCCATTGTGGACAGTCATTCGATCTACGTGGTACCAGGTATGATATAAACGAGGACGTAACTGAACTAAACTTGCCTTTAAATATAGACCATGCTTCTTCAACTGATGAGCTACTACCTGCTGACCAATCTGTCTTAGCAGCGCAATCCTGAATGGCTGATTTCTTAGCTCTCCATACGTTTTGGGCGAGGTAAAACCTGATCGTATATCATGACACTAGCTCTAAATGTGAATGACAAAACATCGTGATCGCTATTCACGAAAGGTTCAAGAATATTTAGAATGGCAATATCCTCAGTCGCACTGTAGTGAACAAGAACACGAGTGTGGACAACCGAATGTATTTGACACAAAATTACAGATCATCTCAATAAAATCTGAGAAATGTATATCAATCGTTAATTTGCAAAATGTCCACCAGTTGTCTCAAAATGCCTCAGACTTCATTGTTCTTACATTTTCATACAAATCGCATTCTACTTCCGCCCTTGCTTTCATCATCTTCTGCTGCCAGACATTACATTCCTGACTCGCATCATATACTACTTATATCAATATAAGTAGCACGCACCACAGCACGAGTAATTACCAAGTCTAACAAGGAAGAACCTTGTTTTGAAACAAAACATGTGGTTATGTATACATGCTGTACTAATGCATGCTCTATTACTGTTATCAGGAACCTAATATAAAAATAAGGTCATTATAGATACTACCTTGACAATCTAAGTTCAACTAATATCACGTTCATTAACGTCTCTTTATATGACGCATCTGTTATTTGCACTCCATAGATGAATATGCTCTAGAATAAAGACATTAGCTAAGCAGATTGGGCCGCGATAAATGACATAGTTTAAATGGTTGTGGACAGAAAAGAAGGAGCTTTCGCTTAACGGGTTTGTGTATCTAGTAGCCATGGATCACCGATGCGTCCAGGCAAATACCTGGGTAATTTAGCGCTAAAAGAGAGTAAAAATAGAATTGGTAGATTATAATGAGATACTGTCTTTAGTCCTTAAGAATGTCCCCAATTTTCCCTTAAAGGATTCGTGGGGACTCGCTCAGCCGACAGCAAATTACATCATTTGAATACTAGTGAGGAGTAGAAGGTGTGCCTGCAGGTCACTTTGCTGTGTTATATCTCCAGTTTCTGGGTGTTACCTATAAGTTTCGTGTTGCGACTAAGCATAAGTGGATGTTTAAAGAAATGCTTGGAAGTGTTTAGGATGATATAAGTTATTAGGTCACCACTAAGACGCCTGTAGTCGAACGAGTAGCGGTACAGTAATTGAAGGCGCTCTTCATAAAACTTGGATCTGAGTCCCCGAACTGATTTCGTGGCTCGCCGTTGGGTATGTTCTAGAGTGTCTTTATCAACTCGCCGAACTGGCCGAAAATGCGCTTCAACGTGCAGGGTTTGCTCGAAAGGCATTTTTGTCGCAGTTAGCGTAAGACTTCAAATCATAGGGTACCAGCACTACCAGATCTTTTTCAACTTAGGATACCTCGAGAGGGGAGTTACATAAGTTGTATTCTTAGTCTGCAAAGCGTCTCCGATGGACTAATTTGCACTTTGAAGTGTTAAAGGTAAGCCCTTTATTGTCTGCCCAACCATGAAGTGGAGTCAGATTCTCCTGAGGTGTCAGGTCATCCTCTTGGTTTCAGACCACACGTCAGAGTTCCACATCATCAGCGGAAAGTAATTAACCTGTTTGCTGTAGGACATCGTTTATGTAAATCAAGAGACGAATAGGTCCCAGTGCTGAACCCTGAGGGACCCAACTAGGACAACCCATAGCCCGAGAGAAAGTGAAGTTAACCCTGACTTTAAAATGTCGATTTTTTAGATATGAGTTCATTAACTAAAAGTGATTTAATACCTAAGCGTTTGGGTTTACTAATAAAACCCATATGATTGAGCCTATCAAAAGCTTTTGAAAAGTCAAGATATATGACATCCATCTCCCCCCTGCGACCAAGAATGGTTGTTCATCTGTCTACCGTGGTCGGTAGGTTGGCTACACAAGAATAGCATCTTCTGAAACCATGTTGTTGTGGTGAAAAGAAGAATATGGATGGTAAGTTTTCGTGTGGACCGTCGCATTTCAGGTACTCCATAAGTTTTGAGGGTAATGAGAGGAGTGCTAATGGGAAGTAGTTTGAAGGTTAGCTGCGCCAAACTTCTTCGAAAATCGGTGTGTTGTCAGCCAGCTTCCAGTTTTCTGGTAATTTGCCTCGGCTTAGCGAATGTGAGAACACCACACTAAGCGGTGTTGACAAGATTGAAGCTGTTTCACTCAATATAGTAGAATGGACCATATTCGGACCAGAAGTGCAGTTTCTGGTACACCAAGTCAGCGCTCAGGTCCACTTCTGAGAGTCCTGTTGAGTTGCAAGTGAATCTCTCTCAGGTAAATGTGCACATGAAATATGAGAATTGATTGTGTGAAACGGACGTTGCCGATAATGACTATGAATGTTTGGTGTGACTGCGTGTTTGCGATCAAATATCACAGCAGTAAAAAATTTACCGACATACAAGTGACGGAGCCTTTTTCTACTTGGGTTAACTAGAAACATGTCTGTTGAAATGTTGCTTGCATCTTTATTTCAATAGTCGCTTGTCCGCTTCAAGTGTAGTTAGTAGTACAAGTAACATCAATAAGATCAAAGCTGTATTTCAACTAAGTACCCCGTCAGTATATTAACATGCTGTATAAAGTAAGGCATAAATATATATTAGCAGATAGGGAATATTAGTCATATATGGGAAGCAGATCATCCACAAATAATCCGGATATATCCAACTTACACAATGAACCAATTGCAAATGTTATGTCGTTTTATAAGGAAGTCGTAAGATATATTTCCAGTTCGGATTTTCATTTAGTTGAGATTCAGAATGCTAATACAGAAATCATGTGTATTCTGATCAATACTCCATATAATACATACAGTGCAGTGATTTTGACGGCAAATGAGTAATGTGTACTCAAACGAAACTACCAAGAAAAGAGAAAGACATTCAGTACTTAGCTATTTGTAAGAGAGAACTGATGTGTATTGGAGTTACATCTGTGATGAATGGTACTGATATGATAAATGCCTGTATAAACCTTCACCGATATGACATTACTGAAGCTTAGCTCATTTAGTAAACCAATTTCATTTGTTCGTTATGGTGACAACGAAATATCCACATAATCAGCATCAAACCAAGAATTCATCCACATTCATTGATAATATTGTTGTTTTCAATCCAAATTCAATTAGTCACAAAGGAACTTATACCAAAAATGAGATATTAAAACCTGTCATTTATGACACTGTATTAACTGTTGCCATCATTATACCTAGTATAAGTGTTTTGTACGTACAGGTACCAAATGACTATCAAATTATCACCAATGATCGTTCGTAAAGTCTAATCATACTCAGAAGCCTTTTCTAAAATACAAATCGAATCGATCATAAATTAGTAATAAATGATTATTAGAGGGTGATTATTGGGAGTAGAAAAAATGTACATAAAATCAATGGGGGGACGAAATATTGTCAGTGTATGTCAAGTTAGTTAAAAATGTGCATTATAAAAACTTGATCATATATGGACCTTCCAATTCATAACCCAATTTTCGATAGTAGTTTCTAGTCCCCACACCGGATATAACTGCAATCTTCAATGAACCATGTTCATATTTAGCTATACGTTCTGCTTCTTCCATTAGTAAAGTTCCAAAACCCTAAAATAGAACCAGTTGGAGGGGCAGCACATTGATCAACATTGTCAAGGAAGTATAACGGAAAATAAAAGGAATAGAATCTAAAAATTGACTCATTAAGTGTTGATGGGGTTCAGCCATCTAGAGATTGTTGACTGAATGTCGAATGTTTTGTTCACCAAACACAACACCATTAAAAACTAATCCTATTGACTATCCACACTTTAAATTACTGAATAAGGAAGTGGATGGGAACGAACAATGTGCATGTCCAAATTAATACAGTATATCGACTCAGTATACAGAGATAGCTATGAGCTATATCACTACTAAAAACCAAAATAGACAAGCTCTTCAACCATTTCAGAACCTCAAAACTAGGTGAAAACAACTAAGCAACTTAATTGCATTTGTTGGTTGCAGCAGTTTAATCAGTTAACGGAGTAAATAACATACATTATATTGAATTTTCGATAAATTCACATCAAACTACTACTTATTTCAGCATATTCAAATATATCTACTAATCAGTCAAGCAAACAATGCATAACTCAGTTTATTTTGAATTAGCGGTTGTATCCATTGCGAAAACCCGTGACAAGTGTCAGTAGGGCATATTTGCAACTCTTAGCAAGCTAATGCCCGCTATGGGATTCAAACACAGGTGGTAAGGCTTCACTATTCCAGACGTTACAATTCATCTGTTGAGGGAGTGAATAACGTCATGTAGTTCTGAGCTATTGACAATTGATTAGTCACGTAGCAGTGCTCAATGTTATGTTTGTCCTAGTCTTCAGCACTGATCGAATTCTCGTGATCAATTTATAAACCAAGGTGTTTGCAGAAATAACTATGTCTATATGTCATAGTGAAATGAATACTTGGCAAACGAAGTACAAACACATTACAATTGACACGAGATGATTCGATCACTGGAAGGCAACCTGACGGTCGCAAAACTAACTTCCCGAAATGTCGAGTAGTATAAAAAAGATGATAATTCGAACGAGCCTGAAAAATCAGACAATCTTTCTATCAATCAAGATTATCTATCGTAAACTGAGCCAGAATAATAGAAGACGGGTGTGAAATGGAAACAGACAATAGACCTCAGTTTACATAGATCTCGAAATTTTGTTTAGAGAACGCAATCACACACATTCGGTGACCGCCCTACCATCCCCCAACCCAACGGGCAAACTGAGCGTTTTGTAAATACCTTCAATCGAGCTCTCATCAAGTCAAAAAAGGAGGGCACGACGGAGGAGGTCATTTAGAATTTCCTGAGAGCATACAAAATAACCCCGAATCCAGCCTAGACCAACGGTGTTTCCGTTGCTGAGTTAATGTTCGGAAGGAAGATTCGGGCTTTATTTGATTGCATGTAATCACAAAGAAGAGGACGGGAGAATAGAATTGATCGTCAGTTTCCTGATGGGTTACCAGTGCACGTAAAAAACTTTCGACATTGGGGACCTTCATGGATAGATGGTGTGATTGTAAGAAAAGTTGGTGGCGTCATGTGTGAGATTGATGTACGAGGTAGACACCTGACGCAACATGTAAACCATATCTATAACAGACGACTAAATTCAAACAAAGAACTTCCTAGCTCGAAACTGCAACTAGATTATTTATTTGATAGTTAGCTTGGAGTATGACAACTACATTACTTATGAGTAACTAGAAGTGAGTTGCACAATTCTCTTGTATTTCGTTGATTAATTGTTAACAAATCAGTTATCGATTGCTCAATATATTACTCACTCATCCGACCACATTGATTGGTCAGTTTTCTATCTGTCTGCACTGATACTGCCGTTTTTGCTGAGTTAAAAACGATGAATGTGAGTTTTAGCCAGGTGAACGACTGTTTTTTTGTAGAACGATATATCCAAGGAGAAGTCATGACAGTTTGTGACTTGCCGAATCCAGATGCTCAACTTCGGTGGACTTGACAAGGTATTTACGAGAAATTCCTAACTTTAGAATGCTATTAGTATTGTTATTACTACTGTTATTAATACACAGAAAAGCATTTCTATTCCGATATATAATTAAATTACACTTAAACTTACTTGGTGTTGAAACTTTGTGGGATCCCTAGCAGCCACTGGAACAGCACTACCATATACATGTAATTCACGTACAATGGAACAACGAGGATCTTTATTACCTTGAACATTGTCATCATCATCACCATTATTAATACGTTTTGTAGCGATTAATTCTGGTCTAAATGTTTGCAGTGAACACTTTCTTAAACGTAATAAACCGATCAATATGTCTTGATATGGATCCTCATAGGCTAGAAATGTCTCCCAACCACCATTTGCAACATAATCTCTACGAACAAGTTCAACCTGTATTGAATGAATGGAAGTACGTTCCGAAGGGAAAAAAAGCAGAAGAAGAAACATGTTGAAGAACTTGAAGATGAACAGAACGAAACAACCCAAGGCATTCATTGGAATCATTTAACGGAATATACTCATCCAGACATAAAATACGAAACATTAGTTCAGTGAACAGCGTCATGTTCGTCCAGTTGATTTTCAAAGCTATAGAACTATACATATGTAATCAGTTGAATAAAACACATCACAGTATCTGGTACAAACCTAGGAGCAACACTAGTACATCGGTCAAAATTGCTTGCATTTCGAACCAAAATATAGTTAGGAAAGTAATGGAAATTGCGAGAATAAAGTTTGACAAGAATAAGTAAATCGGACCAATGATTAGTGTAAAACTGTATAAAATTTTTTACATCTAACTAAAGAATGACTGAAATTATCCTCAACGTTTTCAATCTTTAATAAAGGTATTATAAACAATAGATCCAACTACTTCTCCGTTCATTCAGTGAGTAAATCTCAAATATCAGAATGCAGTGTTTATCAAAAACTCCGCCTGTAGCTCTAATAGGGTTACTGCCGGTCCCAAGCCCGGGTAAAGGAGGAGGGTTGGGCATGGGGTTAGCGTCCCCATCCCGTAGAAAACTAACTCGCTAAAAAAACGCTTACCAGAAAAAATTATTCAAACCATTTAAACTCTGCCCTGGGAGTTAGAAGGTCTTCAGTTAGAAGAATTATGACGCTTCATGGTGAAAGCCGAGTTCCTTCGGAAGCCACGAGGCCGATGCCCCTTCTAACAACCAGAGCAAAAATTTTTATAGGTACATGGAACGTTCGAACAATGTGGGAAACCGGGAAGACCAGTCAAATAGCAATGGAAATGAGGAGATACAACTTAGCAGTACTGGGAATCAGCGAAACCCACTGGACCCAAGCTGGACAGAAAAGGCTAGCTACGGGAGAGATGCTGCTATACTCCGGTCACGAGGAGGACAATGCTCCACACACTCAGGGAGTCGCTCTTATGCTGTCCAAAGTAGCACGAAATGCACTTGTAGGATGGGAGTCTCACGGATCCAGAATCATCAAAGCATCATTCAAAACAAAGAAGGAGGGGATCTTAATGAATATTATCCAATGTTATGCACCCACCAATGATAGCAACGACGACATTAAAGATCAGTTCTACGAGCGGCTACAGTCAATCATTGAGAAATGCCAAGAAAGGACCTAACTATTCTGATGGGAGATCTAAATGCCAAAGTCGGAATAGACAACACCGGATATGAAGATATCATGGGACGACATGGACTGGGACAGAGAAACGAAAATGGAGAAAGATTTGCAAATCTATGTGCATTCAACAAATTGGTCATAGGAGGCACAATATTTCCACACAAGCGTATACACAAGGCTACATGGATCTCACCGGACCACACTACAGAGAACCAAATAGATCATATTTGCATCAACAAAAAATTCCGAAGGACAATGGAAGATGTAAGAACCAGGAGAGGTGCTGACGTAGCTTCAGATCACCACCTAGTTGTAGCCAATTTAAAACTGAAGCTAAAAAAGAACTGGACAAGTGGACAAACAGCACTACAAAGGTTCAATACAGCCTTCCTTCGAGATACTGACAAACTCAATGAATTCAAGATAGCTCTCAACAACAGGTTCCAAGCCTTACAAGATCTACTGAAAGAAGAAGAAACTAGTATGGAGGACAACTGGAAAGGCATCAAGGAAGCATTAACTTCAACGTGTCAAGAGGTTCTGGGCCTAAAGAAACACCATCATAAGGAATGGATCTCTATAGAAACACTGGACAAGATCAAAGAAAGGAAGAACAAGAAGGCAGCAATTAACAACAGCCGAACACGAGCAGAGAAAGTCAAGCACAAGCTGAATACATAGAAGCAAACAAACAAGTGAAGAGGTGCATTAGAGCCGACAAGAAGAAATACGTGGAAGAACTAGCAACGACGGCAGAAAAAGCTGCTAGAGAAGGAAATATGAAACAGCTTTACGATACAACGAAGAAACTAGCAGGGAAATACAGTAAACCAGAGAGGCCGGTCAAAGACAAAGAAGGCAAGCCAATCACCGAAATTCAACATCAGCGTAACAGATGGGTGGAATACTTCGAGGAACTCCTGAATAGGCCGGCTCCAATGAATCCACCGGACATCGAAGCAGCACACATAGATCTTCCTATAGATGTCAACCCACCAACGACGGAAGAAATTAGAATGGCCGTCAGACAAATCAAGAACGGGAAAGCAGCAGGACCCGACAACATACCAGCTGAAGCACTGAAATCAGACATCGAAGCAACCACAAGCATGCTGTACCTTCTATTCAAAAAGATTTGGGAGGAGGAACAAGTGCCAATGGACTGGAAAGAAGGACACCTCGTCAAGATTCCAAAGAAAGGAGATCTGAGCAAATGTGAAAACTACAGAGGCATTACACTACTGTCAATACCAGGGAAAGTCTTCAACAGAGTGTTGCTGAACCGGATGAAGGATGCAGTAGACGCCCAACTTCGAGATCAACAAGCTGGATTCCGTAAGGATCGGTCGTGCACAGACCAAATTGCAACACTACGGATCATCGTCGAACAATCAGTGAGTGGAACTCATCACTATACATCAACTTCATTGATTATGAAAAGGCATTCGACAGTGTAGATAGGAGGACATTATGGAAACTTCTTCGACACTACGGAGTTCCTGAGAAGATTGTCAACATTATCCGGAACTCATACGACGGACTACAGTGCAAAGTAGTGCATGGAGGACAGCTGACAGATGCATTCCAAGTAAGGACTGGAGTCAGACAAGGCTGTTTACTCTCTCCCTTCCTCTTTCTTCTGGTGGTCGACTGGATTATGAAGACCTCGACATCTGAAGGAAAACACGGAATACAATGGACAACTCAGAATCAATTAGACGATTTGGACTTCGCAGACGACCTAGCCCTCCTATCACGTACACACGAACAGATGCAGATGAAGACAGCCAGTGTAGCAGCAGTCTCTGCATCAGTAGGCCTCAGCATACACAAAGGGAAAACCAAGGTCCTCAAATTCAACACGCAGAACAGCAATCCAATCACTCTTGATGGCGAAACTCTGGAAGATGTAGAGTCCTTCACATACCTAGGAAGCATCATCGATGAACAAGGAGGTTCAGATGCAGACGTAAAGGCGAGGATCGGCAAAGCAAGGGTCGCATTCCTACAATTGAAGAACATATGGAACTCAAAACAACTTTCAACCAATATCAAAGTGAGAATCTTCAATACGAACGTCAAGGCAGTTCTACTGTATGGAGCTGAAACTTGGAGAACTACAACAACCACCATCAAGAAAGTACAAGTATTTATAAATAGCTGCCTACGCAAGATACTCAACATCCACTGGCCGGATACCATCAGCAATAGCCTTCTGTGGGAGAGAACAAAGCAACTTCCAGCTGAAGAAGAAATTAGGAAAAGACGATGGAAATGGATAGGACATACATTACGCAAACCGTCAAACTGCATCACGAGGCAAGCCCTAACTTGGAACCCTGAAGGGAAGCGAAAAAGAGGAAGGCCAAAGAACACATTGCGTCGGATAATAGAAGCAGATATGAAAAGGATGAATTACAACTGGACGGAGCTAGAAAGGATTGCCCAGGACAGGGTTGGATGGAGAATGCTGGTGAGTGGCCTATGCTCCTTCACGAGGAGTAACAGGCGTAAGTAAGTAAGTAAGTGTTTATCAAAGATTTCATTCCACAAGTCTATCTGCTAAAAGCAAGTTAGTTTAGTTTATTGAATCATTTAAGATGAAAAAAGCAAATACGATGGCAGTTGAAGCCTGAAATAGGATTTCTACTATGTAACAATCAACCAATAAATCAATGAGAAAATTATAGAAAGTGTTGAAGATAATCCACTCATCGAACAATGAAAACATATTGGATAACCGAAGACTAAATAAAAAATAAAGAATGAATATATTTAAGTCACTGCGACTGACTGTCAGCAACCTAATTTAAATTTGCCAACAGTTGATTACAAATATAACGCTAGCCTGAAGCATACATTCTGCGTTTCTGTAAAAATGCTCTGAACAATAGCTAATGACTTTACACAATGACCCAATATATTTCAGTCTGGCTACCAAACTAGCGTTTTCCAAACTACTTCGAATACTGGCTACCACTAAAGAGTGACTGTACATGTTTAACACGTTGTCGTCACTTTGATCGGTGAATGCCCAAACCCTCATCAACCAGTTCGCCCACCCTAACAAGTAAACTACACCAAACCTCACCATTACTCAGTTATTTCATCACATATACTGATTAGAGAGTTGAGGACAGGAGTGCGTATAGAGATGTAATTCACGTAACAAAAATGTACTAAAATAAGGTTTACCTACAAACAAACAGAGAATGAATTAAATGACAAGGGATAATATGGTAGTTAAAATCTAAAATAATAATTTTGTAAATCATCTGGTGCCGTTTTCATTCCATTCTGGAAATTTACTATGCTGTAACTTTTTAACTTTGTGTTCTTCCATATTCAATTGGTACTTCTGGTGTGTTTTGTCGGTTTTTTCCTATCACACTCTTTCCTTTCTATATTTAGCAATGGTAAGTAAATCCGTTATTGTACCATGTGTAACCGTAATTCAACAATTAAATGTTATTGGTTCAAACTCCTAATTACAGGTGTTAAGGCTCTGAACGCCGCGCTCCAATCAAGCAGTCCTTACTTACAAACTGTTGTATAAAATCGAGTACATAAGGACATTTGCTTGATACCACCATGAATATTATCCAGATAATAAGATACTAAATTGACCGCAACTATTATATAAGAGGGTGATCAAACTATCTGAAAGAACTGTGTAAAAACAGTGACCAACTGAATAATAACTTCTGATATCTATGTATCATTGTATATCATCAAATCACGAGTGTTCTACACAATAGCAACGACAGAAGACTGAATTGCAATATAAAGAGCAGAAAATAGAAATAGAAATCTGGTAGAAACGTTGGTTTTATTTTTTAGAACTCACATACCTGATATGGTTTTACACGTGAATGTATTTCTTGTATGCCGACTTCACGTGTTCGAACATCACGACAACTAGCACCTAGTTCTTCCATTCGAGCTAATACAAGTTCACGTAAGTTACCATGTTCCACACCACTAGTTACTAATGGCATAGGAATATCTCTAAAAGTTATTGTGAAAAAAATAAACCGCGTTATCAGGAATGCAGGATCCTAATGCAGTAAAAATTGATGCACTGAATCAAATAATATCATATCTGACCGTAACTGCTATCTTGGCGTGGTAGTCTGACTTGCACACCGTGATGAATCAGTCGAGCTATATTGTGGCTAGAGCACTTGTTACATTCCTTCCTATCATACTAGACAGTTCAGTTGCGGAGCGACAAAACTAAAGGGAAAAAGCTGAAGTTCCGAGGGCGAAGTCGTACTGACGACTATACAAGATTGTGACGACAGGAGTGTTCCACTCAGATAACCAAAACTGTGGAGTTGTTGCCTTTTCATAACGGAAAGAGAGGGTTAGGGAACATCAACTCTAAAAGTAAACCACCCCACTTCGATTCATGGATTCCCATCACTGGCGATTAGCAATCCTTCCGGGACAATTATAGTCCAATACACTCACTAAGCGTCCTTAATTAGGATACGCCAAGTTTCACAAGCAGAGAGCAGAAGTGCTCCCGCAGATGCATTGTAAATCTAACCTTTTATGTATTGACTAAATTTATGAAGGCGCCAACGATGGCTTAGATTAGTATGAGACATATTGACATTTTCTGTAGACAGGTTGATTTCATCTGACAAGCTGAAACACCATACACAAAAGTACCCAAGTATACGAACTTTTCGATTATTTCTAACAGCTCAACACGAAGAGTGAATGTCGAGACAGAATCCTGCCAGTCTTGTAAAATCGCTTTGCGTTTATAATGAACAATTCAGGAGTAAATCAACGTAAACGTTACCTTCCAGATATCTAAACTGAATCACATACTTCGAATCACGGACAAACCTAATTTGGACAGAAGGTCGTTTCGTCCTGGTATGGGGCTCCTCAGAAGTGTGTATCTACAACCACGTCGTGGATGAAACCGAAGACTTTGCAGGTCTGGTGACGAGTGCTTAACCTTTAGATCACAGAGTCGGCATCCAGTGATTTACATTTATAGCTTTAATCAACTCGAGATATTGTGAAAATATCTCACAATGTCAATGGCAAGTATCTAACAACCGAGTTGGTTGGACTCAACTAGTTTAAACTTAAATAGATTAAACCTGTTATTTAAAATGGGTCGACATTTTATTGGTCAATTAAGTGTGAATTCCATATAAAACAGGAAAACAAAATTGTTAAATTATGCCATTACTAAGGACTTGTGAACACATTCATTTATACCTTGATGATGACTGACGGAGATTAGAAGAAAGCTGGAAAGTAAATTTTGTCCAACTTTAAACTAACCACATGCAAATGTGCACCGATCGAAAGTTGAAATCAATATTATCATAGTCATTTGTAAGGGTTTGTATTTTTTCACTATTGGCGTTAAAGACTGCAAATAATTAGTCCCTATTGATGTATGTGCATCCGAAATGGATTGTCTCAATATTGTTAGTTTCTTGTGAAGTTGGGTAAAAAGTAACAGTGAAATCGACGGTGTACCTTTTTTCACATTTATGACTCGTCAAATGGGTTCGCTCGTATCTCAATGATACTCGAACTTAGTAGACTTCGCTTTAAATCCCGACCCCTTATCAATTGAGCTATTGAGTTCAGATAATCACCGACATGTTCAAACGGTAAGAATAATATTTGTAACGATCCATATTTTCCCATAATTAAAAATTCAGTACAATTCAATAATGTAATAAAACTTGTAACTGTAGTCTCAGTGTGAATATCAATACTGGAACGTACGTATATTCAGATATCCGACAAGTCCTAAATAGGACGAAACGAGCATTTAGGATTTCACTACAAGCTGCTATCCAACCTTAATTTTAAAAAAGTTATACTAGTTTTACCCATGGAACAAATAAATGAATGAAATTTCATCAATACATATATATGATCTACCTTTGAATACGATAAATTCTAGTCCATGGTGGGACTAATGCTAATATTCGAGCAATCAAATCAATCAGCATACCGGGTGGATAACTTTTATATCGACCAGTACGCCATAATTCATATAAACCTGTACCACGTATAACAAGTGTTGGATAAATTTTTAATCCATCTGAACGAAAAGCTGGATTTTCAAAATATTCAGCAAATTGTGCTAAATCACGTTCCCAGCCAACATTTGGTAAATCAGGCATCATATGTGAAACAACTTTAAATCCAGCATCTTTAGATAAATGAAATGATTCACAAACAGCTTTAACAGTATGACCTCTAGTATATAAAACAAAAAGAAAGGAATTCTACATATAGTTTTTTGTTGTTGTTGATTAGATAACAACTTCAAGGGGGGGGAATTTCGTGAAAATAAATCTGAAAAACATTCTTAGAATTATAAATTGAAAGTAGTTGAAAAGTTACCGACTTAAAAGACAAATAATCATTGCCATTATCATAAGATTTAACAAACAAAACAAACTTCGAAAGCCCCTTTATTCCCCCCCCCATGAAATGAATAACTAATGAGTAAGTGGTGTAAATTAAGTTTGTTTGTTTTTAAAAAAGAAAAATTCCGCTCCGAATTTATTTGTAAATTACGCACGAAATAATTGTGAGGAGAGTTTTTCTTTTAAAAATTGTAATCTATTGACTAAAAGGACAAATTCCCAATTTGATCGATATAATTTAGTCACTGGATAGAACTGGAAAGGAAGGCCCTGGACAGAGTGGGTTGGAAAATGCTGGTCGGTGGCCTATGCTCCATTAGGAGTAATAGGAGTAAGTAAGTAAGTAATTCAGTCATTAAACAAGCCAGACAATCTATGACATTGATCATAAACACATGGGTTATAACCATAATATGTGTAGGATTCTAATAAAACGCAGTTTTAAAAATTTTTAATTATCTCAATTGTGAAAAAATATATTTAATTCAATAAAGTGTAACAATTGATGACAGTGGCAATGTATTTAAATGCATCGTTGTTACAAATATATTGACACAAAAGTACAATTATGAAACCTGAATTAAGAGTTTCCGTAGCACACTTACCTCAAATTAGTTCGTTTATTTGTTAATATTTAAACACCTAAACATTGGCACAAGTAGGCATCAAACAGATATGAGCCACATAAATCATTCGATTTGTGTGAGGGCTGGAATACTATCCGTGTGACCGAACCGAAGCAGGTGGTTTTCTTAGGCGGCCACACCCGGAGCCTTTGACCCAAAGGTCTAATACACAAAGCAGTACAGCAACTTTAGGAAATGCAGCTCAATGGTAGCCGATGACGAACAACAGGTTCATACGCCATTTGTCCCCTCAAGATCCTGGAGCCCATGTGCACCATAGGTTTGAAATCAGGATTTTCTAACCCCTCTAGGTGGATCCTCCATATCCACCAACCCGGTTAAAGCGCTGGACATCCGCTTTTCGTCCCCCTCCCCCAACCTCGTAAGCAACACTCTCTCCGCGAAAATGCAGTAAGTTGGACTTCCCTGGTAGTGGCTACAATTAGTTTAACTAACTACATAATATAACCGATTGATATAGTTGTGTAAAATAAAGGAAAATTATTTTTCGAAAGAGTTTACAACGAAAATTATTATTAAAAAAAAACAAGTTGAGTATTTTTACTTTCATAGACAGATTAAAATTCTCACCTATTTGTATCTCTGGCAACATCTTCATAAACACTTTGAACACCAATCTCTAACCGTGTACAACCATAACGTAACATTTCACTAAAATGAAATAAATTATCCAACGGATGAATACTGGTTTGTAACTTACCTTAAATGTTTTTTTAAACAATAATCTGGACGTGTTTCAATGGTGATTCCAACACATTTTGTTCTACTTCGTTCAGAATAACTAATAGATAAAAATATAGTGATCATTTATTAAGTGAGATTAATCTAAAGTATGAATAATTGTAAATGAAAGTTTTCTTATTAATACTAAAAAGTACCTGATGGCTTTAATTTAATTCTCTTCAACTGGTTAATTCAAGGAAAGATTGATTGCTTACTAGACTATAAGTTATACATTGTTTGTGTGCTAGACAAAGTAGACAGGAAGGGTTTGGAACTCACGCAATCAACCAGCGGTTCAGACTGGAATGCTTTAACCACTAAGAGACTGTTTTACTAAGATTTCACAGTACTTCAAAAATCCGCGTCGATGATAATACAGTAAGCATATAATGCTTAGCTTTCTTTTAGATTATGTTATAGTTAAACAAATGTAATAAATTAGATGACCTAAATGGAGTTATTTATTACGATAATGAAATGAACAAATAATTAGAATTTAAACAAAATATGATTGGAATGGGGTTCCCATAGGGCTTTGAAAAAGCATGTTATATAGTGAATAGGGAGCTGGAGGTATGAACTCGTAAGAAACCTCTCCCCTTATACAACTCAAGTTCAATGGAAATCTAGATACTGATATCCTACACGATAGACTGAACAGAGAGATTAAAATGGTTTTTTGTACACTTGATTTTTTTTTGTCATTTTACGATTTCCAAAGCACTGCTCACGTTTTGTAGAGCAACTAAGTGAGTAATGCTGAGATTAGGGACAGTGTACTAAGAGATTGCTTTGATTGTGAATTTTCATGCACTGAGTTGGTAGAAACAAGTGTTATGTATACCCACGCGTCAGCTTTCTTAATGGGTGACGTTGGCTGGTGTAGGAGTAAGTTGGAAAAAGAACAAGGGTGGTCAAACCACAATGAACCATAAGTTTATGAAGTATTTATTTATTTTAACACATAGATATTGGTACAAGGAGGCACCAAATACATATGCGCCACATAGATCTCATTTGATATGTGTGAGGGCTGTGATACTGCCTGAGTGCCCAAACCGAATCATGTGTTTTTTTTAGGGGCCCACACCCGAAGTCTTCGACCTGAAGGTCTGATCCACAAGACAGTGGAGTAACTTAAGGAGATGCAGCCCCATAGTAGCCGGTGACCAACTATTGGTTCATACGCCATTTGTTCCTTCAGGATACTGGAGCTCATGTGCACCATTAGTTTGGAATCAGGGTTTTCCAACTCCCCTAAGTGAAATCTCCATGTCCACCAACCCGGCTAAAGCGCCGGGCATTCGCTTTTCGTCCTCTCACTTTGTAAACAACACCCCCGCCACAAGAAGGCAGTGAGTAGGACTTCCGTGGTAGAGGCTATATACGCGTGGCCATGTGAGAGCAATTCGAGAGGTAGAGCGGACTCTCCCCACCAGGGCATTTGGGGGCGTTTATGAAGTCAGTGGTTGCAGGTTTAAGTCACATTAGTAGATGCAAACGATCTGGATGAGGTCTTCATATTTGTCGTAACCAATAGTTGGGAACATTAGTTGGCATGTTTTATAACCAATTACATCCCTGTAGATGCATTTACCAATTATCAACCTCTAGATATTAAGTCCCAGCGTTTCTTTATATACAAATTTTTATTGTCTTATCAAATTGTATTCTTAATGTTTAATCTTTCTTATTATGATTGTTCTCACATTGCTTCGACTATGTTTCTATTTTTCTTATTAATTTCCTTTTAATCGTATTAATGTGGTTTAAAAACTTGGACTAATGGAAATTCGCGCCTGGCTCTACGTTGATTATGAGTGACTGAATGGATGTCCAGATAAAAGAATAGATTACCCGGTTTCTACACTTAGATTGTTAATTACTTATTTAGCTACTCATTCTCGTTTCTCGACAAGGGTTGCTATCTTGTCCGAAGTTATAGTAATTTGATTCAAAAACTATATCCTTCGTATTCAAAAGAAGTTTGAAATATGCCGTTTCGCTTTTCGATCAGGGAACCGTAACAGATGATCGTATTGATTTTTTCCTCCTTTTGTTTGTAATATAACGGGAGAATAAAAATTTTTTCTGTTTGTCACGTTTTACTACCATTATAGGATCGGTGACGGATATTTATGGTGCCACCTGCGTAACTATTCTTCCTCAACTGTATGTTTAAGATCATTAATTGCACAGTATTACGTGCTCTCAGTGATCAAGTTCATTTAACTCAGGTTTCAAACTACTTATGTTGAAATCTTGGTTCGCATTATCACTCCGTTTTTATGATTATTGGCATAAGTTACACAATCGTGACTTTCAATACTTAATAACATTAATGCAAAGTATGTGAAAAACTATGGAGTTATGTATTTGGACTCAAACCACGCTTTTAGTAGGAAGACTAGTAACCAACCCAGTTCCCTTAACCGAAGAAAGTAGAATGGGGTTCAGACAAAATGGTGGTGTGTTTAAGAATATCAATACCTGATCAACAGAAACAAGTAGTTATGAAAAATAAACAATATATTTGTAATATCCCAATGAGTAGAAAGATCAAATTTTCTGATGTTTCGCGACTTAGTGTAAGCCGCTTCTTCAGAGAAAAAATAATCAAGTCAAAATCAATCCAAGTCTAAAGAGTACAACGGAACAACAAGAATATTATGTTATGGTTATCTATTCTCTGAAGAAGTAGCTTACACTAGGTCACGAAACGTCAGAAAATCCAATTTTCCTACTCATCGGGATATTACAAACATATTGTTTATTTATAACAATCTACCCAATGCTCAATTTATTCGGAATCATTAAGTCAAACCTTGGTAATGATACCTACAAATAGTTATAATGTTGTGTAGTTTCATAACAAGGAATTTAAAAACAAAGTCCACGTAATGTATGTATATGAGGAAATTGATCACATCTAATACTGAGGTTGATACTATCATTAAGTATCCAAACCTTGATGGATAAAAATACATTTTGATTCGAGTTGTTATGAACAAAGATTAAATTCCTAAACCACACTTAAACAAAATACTTAGTTCCCTCTCAGTAGTATATAATAGTATATATAGTCCTATATTCATTATTTAAACTATCATCTATGTACGACAATCATATGCTTCTAAAGAATTGCACTAGATTTTAAGAAAAATTTATGGCTTAAGTTGTTAAACAACTTTTTAGAATAATCCCCACAATATTACAAGTTATCGTACTCTCAATTAAATGATAATTGAAGTTATTAAACATTGATCACTGGTAATAAATATATCTTCTGTTATATCCCAATAAGTTATTTATTTACTATGAAGAAGTGGCTTGCATTGTCACGAAACGTTGGGAATACGATTTTTCTACTTATTTGGATATAACAAGAAATACATTTATTATTAACTTTCTACTCAATGCTCAATTTATTTGAAACTATCAAGTCCAACCTTGGGATTCATAACTACATTGATCTAAACTTCTAGATTCAGAGGGAATCTCTAATCATGGAACAAAGAGGATTATTCACTTAAATCCATATAGTTGATAACGTAGATTTTATAAAAATAGTGTCAGGGTATGTGAGTTATACCTACATAACAGCCTCGTCAACGTTTTGGCTTGTATGTCCAGATAGTGCATCGTGTAAGCTTCTAATGAAATAATCCCGATAGTCTTCAGAAAGACACATAAACGTTCCCCCCATAACAATAAATTCGACCTTATCACATGTATGTCCGAGTTGTTGAAGCTAGAATTATAAATGAAATGTGTAAGCGTGATCACGAAAAATTACTTGTTCAATTCGATGCCGTGTTTGAATAAAGGGATTGTAACGAGCTCGAATAGCACGCATGGAAGTGGGCTAATAATAACATTGGTGAGTTATGTGGTCTAAGCTACGAAATTACCTCATATCCAGTATAAGATTGTGTGGAGTATTCAAAATCAGAATCTGGTCCGCCTGGACAATAGCTGTAGATAAGAAGATAAAATGGAAAGAAATTTTAAGCACCTACACACAAACATTCCCGGTCACAGCTATATGAGGACATCGATGAGGTTTACACATAACTGCTATAACTACAATCTACAACAAAATGATTATAGGAATAGGCAATTTAATAAAATATATATACACTTAATTACCCCACTAGCTGATCTAACTGGTTTCGCTTTCAGATGTGGCAACAGCACCTAGACAGTGTATTTGGCGAACATTCATCATCAACGAAAATTAACTTACATGTCTATGTTCTGTTGGTACAGCTGCGATTAAATCAACCAGACGTGGTTGTGAGGCTAAGCCATATTTACTAGATATTGCTGACTTCAGTCTATTCAAATTAAGAACAAATTATTACTAACAAGACTTAAACAGTTACTTACTTATTTAAATCAACATCACGTTTCTCTTCAATAGATTTTAAAAGGTGTGAGATTATTTCACTCACGGTTAAAATCATGAGTTCCTCTTTGGTGGCATTTGGTACTTTGGGACAAACATTACAAAAGCTATAAAAATTACTTTTACGAGCTTTAGCCATATTGTTTACTGAGAACTCAGGGAACTACGGTTCAGCCTTTTGATTCTTCGTTAAACACTTATCATCTGGGTACAAAAAATAAAGTGGGACTCAGTATAAGGTAAACTTTACGTTGGAGGTAAATAACAATATAGTTAACTTTGAATAAGACAAATATGGTAAACACCACTAAGTTTATCAAGTCTATACTGAAGTAGTCACGACGAACATGGGAACTGAATCAAAACTTAGATGTTAACTATAAACAGAATCCGAGTATGTTAGTGTCAAGATGAATCAAGAATATGACTCCGTAAATTATTTATATTTTTAATTGAAGTGGTTAGTTCATTGATGTTGTAAACTATATACATAAACTAAATTAATAATTAGTTGCAACTACTGTTAGCTAAATGTACCCAGATTTGATTACTAACCAGTTGAGCAAATCATACGATCTATCCATAACATTGTAGTTTTTATATAATTTTCAGAATTAGTGGTGAATTTGCAGTTGATGCATAATAAACTCTCCATTCGCACTTTTACCCCTCTACACCGAGGTGGGTCCGTTTTTGTTTACTTGAACAGGGCAAGTAACCCGTTGTGTACATAGGATATAACAAATAGCCATGCTACTTTCTTATCACAGGACAATAGAGAAAATGCAATAATTTGAAGCATGACAATCAAGGAAATCTGAAAACTTATAGTGCAGTGGAAACTGATGGAAATAAATGTCATATAAGACTATTAGTCCAAAAGTCGATCTTGAGGTTTGACCTCAATCAGGAATTCAGAGTGAAGATCGATCACTGACACAACAGCATCGTTTAATTAATATCCAATCAGCCGAACAAAACAGTGGTTCAAAAGCTTCTGCTTACCTCAGGAATACGATGACAATTAAGGATATCAAATAAGTCAATTTCATCTTGTTAAAAGTCTACACTGATTTCAATTTTTATAAAGTGGTCCATTCGTCTGTAAAAGTGTTACGTGAGTAGTTGCTGGTTTTTAATACCCATCACAATCATCTAAATTTACTCAATTACTCTGATGGCAACTATTTTAGATGAATGTGGACAACCAGACTGCCTGTTCCCCGTTGAGGAAGGAATGCAGTGCGGCATTGAATTAGTTGTAGTATATCACAGTTCAGAATGTGTAGCAGATGATTTTCTCATAAGTAAACTTAAGTCCTGGTGTAAAAAGTGTAAAAGCCTTGTAGTAGGCGACTTTAATGCACCGTATATAAACTGGGTTAACTTAGAAGTAGGGTCATCGATAACGTCGTTCGATTGCAAACTGTTAGAAACCTCGATTGGGTTAGGTTTATGCCAACATATTAGAAACCCCACAAGATATGACTTAAGAAATTCTTCTCTTTTAGATTAAGTCTTCGCATACGGTGATGACGTTGGTCAAACAACTGTCCTCCCAACACTAGGGAGAAGTGACCATGCAGTCATCGTATTCAAATTCATGGCTGAGATTGCCTGTCAAACAGTTGCGCCGGCCCGTCCTAATATATGGACGGCAGATATGGAGGCAATCAACTCCGCAGCGTCGGCTGAAAACTGAGAAATTGACTCAAGGGCATCAGTACAAGACACATGGACTCTTTTCAGGCAGTTATACAAACGGGTAACTTAACCATACGTACCCTGGACTGTTCCAAAGAAGAAGGGACACGGCCAAACCTGGATAAACCGGGATATTCGACGTTTACCAAGACAAAAGAAGAAATGTTGGGATGTTGCCATCCGCCTTAGTACAGCAGGTACGATGGAACGCGACAGATCGATAAGAAACAAGTGTATAACAAAAATTCGGGAAGCTCAGAGAAAATATGAAATGCAATTGGCACATTCTGCACTCAAGCAGCCCAAGAGAGTATTCTCGTACATAAACTACAGTACAAGGATGAATCATTGGATTCCCAACCTAATTAAAGAAGGGAGTGAATCCGAAATGATAGAGGAAGATCAGGAAAAAGCAGAGGCTATGGCTGATTATTTTGGGACAGTTTTCACTCAGGAACCTCCTCTAGACAAAGAACCAGACCAAAATAAAGAGTCAACAAACCACCTGCCCACCGTGGACTTCGATCAAGACGATGTGCTTAAGGCTCTTAGCACCTTAAACATGGAAAAGTCAACAGGATCAGATGAACTACACCCCAAAATCTTGAGACATATTGCCCAATATATTGCGGCCACACTGACTGTGATATTCAATATGTCACTTGGCCAAGGTGTGTTACCTATGGACTGGAAGGACGCAATCGTCACTCCCATATATAAAACAGGACCAAGACAAGTTCCATCGAACCAAAGACCTGTAAGCCTCACCAGTGTTGTAGTTAAAATATTGGAAAGAATAGTCAAACGGACAATAATGGCATTTATGGAAACCAATAACTTACTAAACATAGAACAACATGGTTTTAGAAAGGGTCTGTCTTGTACAACAAACCTCCTTATAGCAAAGGAGTTTCGGGTAAAGGCGCTAGACAACGGAAACTCAGTGGATGTTGTCTACATAGACTTCAGTAAGGCTTTTGACAAGGTGCCAACTTATAGACTTCTACTGAAGTTGGAAAACCTTGGTATTGTCGGACTTCTTTTTAAATGGATTAAGGATTTTCTAGTAGGTCGTAGACAGAAAGTAAGAATAAATTCCAAGTGCTCCATTTGGAGACCAGTACTTGGTGGAGTACCTCAAGGTTCCGTCCCAGGTCTTTTACTTTTTATAATGCATGTTAATGATCTTCCAAGTATAGTACAGTCTCCAATGTTATTATACGCTGATGGTGTAAAGATCTGGCAAGTAATAACTGGAGACAGACGCATGTGCCCTTCAGGTAGACTTAAATAATATGATGAACTGGTCTAAAGAGTGGCTGATGCCTATCGACGATGCAAAGTGTGTCTACATGTACTTTGGGGATTCAAAGGTTAATAGGTACAACATAGGGGAAGTGCCGTTACCTGTGGTCCGGTCACATGAGGATCTAGGGGTAACAGTGAGTCATGATCCTAAGACGACGGCCCATTGATGGGAGGTCACAGCTAAGGGGTTTCGAACACTTTGGGGTTTAAAACAGACATTCACTAAGTTATATACTACCATGTTCACCATGGAACCCGTTGCCCGAAGCAGTGGTGTCCGCACCTTCAATTGACTCCCTCATGAGAAGACTGGACATTCACAGAAGCATACTAGAAAAGGAACAACATAGGCCGCAGGCCTTCTGTTCTTACTGCACAAATCTGAATCTGAATGATGCATCCAAACACCTGTGTAGTGCTTTAATAAATCGAGCTTAGTTCAAATACGACAACTTTTGATATACTATACGATCACCCGCCGATCCCAAATTTTGTCTACACAGTTTGTCAGGTATGGAGAAAGGGTGACCATTAGTTCCTCAATATGCGACGGGAGAACGTAAAAATTTTCCCACGTTAAAGCCTTATAACTTATAAATTGGCGAAAGATGAGATATATGTGCATACCAGGAAAGTTTCCAAACGATCTAGCACAGTATTTTAGTCTGTTCGACGAGTAAATTCAGCGAAATTTTAAAATACATGAACTGAAAGTTATAGACATAGTCGGAAGATAACGTTGAGTAAGCCTATTTGTTTTTAACTACACTTAAATCTTAGGTGGATAAAAGCCTAATAAAACACAATACAATACCATCCACGACAAAATGTAGCGTACGTTTTAAAAGATTGTCTAATGCCAATCAACAATTTAAAATGGTCTAGATGATATTTAAAAATGAGTCAACCCGAGTATCTTACACATCTAAGATAGGTGAATTATGCATTCTTCAAGCTGGAAACAAAGTTGAATATAAACGACAGTCAAGAAGCAAACGCTTTCGTCAATTATATTATGATAATATGTCATCATTTAACAGTTGAATTCATGAGTCCATTAAAGCTAGATGACATTGAAAAACGTGGAAGCATTGGATCGCCGTTTCGTCCTGCTACGGGACTCCCCAGCACTACGCATCCATGATCCCACACGTAGGACTCAAACCCAGGACCTTCGGTCCGGTGCGCGAATGCTTAATTTCTAGACCGCTGAGACGGCATCAAATGGTTTTAATTTAAAACTTCAACCAATCCACGGCATTGGGTCACCGTCCATCATTGCTTTCAGTGAGTAACTGGAAACAAAGTTGAATATAAACGACAGTCAAGAAGCAAACGCTTTCGTCAATTATATTATGATAATATGTCATCATTTAACAGTTGAATTCATGAGTCCATTAAAGCTAGATGACATTGAAAAACGTGGAAGCATTGGATCGCCGTTTCGTCCTGCTACGGGACTCCCCAGCACTACGCATCCATGATCCCACACGTAGGACTCAAACCCAGGACCTTCGGTCCGGTGCGCGAATGCTTAATTTCTAGACCGCTGAGACGGCATCAAATGGTTTTAATTTAAAACTTCAACCAATCCACGGCATTGGGTCACCGTCCACCATTGCTTTCAGTGAGTAACTGCCCCACAACACGTAGTCAATTTCCTACCGGTGTAATTCGAGACTATCTTCTAGGCTGTCGAGCACAGAGTCTTAGCTTGGCCAAAGTCAAAAGAAGGAGGGAAATGGAAAAGTGGTAATTATGAATATATAGATACTTACTTGCGCCCCCCCCATGGGGGAGCATAGGCCGCCAAAAACATTCCTTACCCAACTCTGTCTTGATCAATCCTTTTCCGTTCTTTCCGGTTGCTATTCATTTTTTTCATGTCTGCTTCTGTTTACCAACGTAGTGTGTTCTTCGGTCCTTCTCTGTTCCGTTGTCGTTCAGGATGCATGGTATTTGAAATTATCCCAAATTAACCAATTGAATCAAATTAATGCATTTGGCAGTTACATACTTAGTTAGACATTATATTCCGAGATGACTATACGATTGTGTTCCTTCAGCATATCCGGATTAAATAACGTTTTATCACATATGGTCTTCCATCGGATATATAACGATTTTAATAATAACGGAAGCATTGTTTCAAATCATTAGCAGTTCGGGTCCATTATGCTTCTTCTCTTGAAAATACAGTGAATTACTGTCTCGTATTTCTTGGGGTGTTGCTCGAATCGGGCAAGGTTTTGGAGCAAGTGGCTCACTGGTTGACCGATAATATTTGTCCATTTCTTTGACATGATAGATTATTTGTCGTTTCAGATAGGGGACGCACAAGTAAGTCCTAACCATTGTCTATGTTAGAAAACAGGCTCTGATAGTTTGATTCAGCAAATTACTAGACTGAGTATTGAAAAATATGTTTGTTTCGAGGTGGGTACAAATTGTTTCTTGATATCCAGCTTGATTCGCGCCATTTTGCGGCGGCTATGTATAAAAGGGTGTTTTTACTAATTGTCATGTGAACCCGATGCGTCGATTAAGTTGATCGCGCTTAACACACTCAAACGTTATGACACAGTACATTTGACAAATTACGTATATTAATTCAGCAACAACACCGATAAACATCAAATAATAACATGTCCAAATCATACAGTTTTTACCAAAAAATGTTTTGCAACGTCTAAGGAACAACAAGTTGGTTAGTGGGTTTACAACACTAATTTGTCCGACCCTTTTGCTGTTTTCCTATTCTACTTACGTTGATATACTAGACACAACTAACAGCTTATATCCAAACATGTACCGAGACCATCATTTATTCTCCAAATGAAGGCAACTCGTTACAACCAAACAAACTGTAGCTGATCCAATACGTTATACTATTTGAAGCGTACTTTTAGTTCTTTAGATGCTTTCATGTCATAGGACACTAAGTTTCTGTTAAACAGTTGACGGAACGTTAGAATAACCATCTTAAAGGGTTTAGAGTATCAAAAGTTGATAAAGCTTAATAGGCAAACAGGGTTTTCGTTCCAGTGTGAAATACCGGGATTTTAGCCTGAGACTGTTCACATTAAGAGTGAAACTTAGTCCTGTTATTGTGATCACACGAAGTTTACCATCGGTGATATAAGTTGCCATGAGTTTGTTCTTTCAAGTTTCATGTAAAGATTATTTGTGGACATCTACGTCATTATTAGTACTATCACAGTCAATATTAATAGCAGAAGACAATCTAATTAGCATTCCACAAACTGACAATAATACAAATAGATAAATAATTACACAAAATACGAACTACGTTACAATAATGGCAGGCTATGACCACTATCAAACGGTAAAAATAATTTAGTGGCAACTTTGATGGACGACGTGTAGGAAATAATAATACGTATTACGAACGAGAAAAATACCCCAAGAATCCCATGAAAGCGTTTTATTGAACAGTATTACTATTTCTTCGTACCTTTTCCTTGTACTGTGTTAACTTTTACTCGGGTTACTATTAACCACTTCTTGTACTTTTCAGCCTCATTTATCTGAACTTTTATTACTTGACCTTGGTCAGTTTTACTTTCATCTCTTAATTCTGTTATTGTATGTTCGCGGACCGTTGACGACATGGTCTTGTTTGACTAAACTCAAGACTGCGGCGTGGTTCGGACCTTCGACCATGTGCTGAGGACGAATACTCTGTTCAATGCGGATAGCCGTGCCGTTTGAGGTATTTTGTACTTTGATATAATTTTTTGCTTTACAAATAAGAACCACCCAAATTAAAAAGGGAGTTTGTGTTTTAGTATAATTTAATACGAATAACTCAAAAGCGCTTCGTAAGCCATACAGAAAAACATAGTTTGACTTAATCAAATAAACTTTGGTTTGCTAGAACTGCTTCCAGACCAAACGCCAGAATTTCGGTTGTTACAACCATTAATAATAATGATTCTATTGTATATTCGCCCGGACGCTCAGTTTCAAACATAGAATAATGAAAATGCGGTTATGATATTTGGCACAATTAGATGTTTTTCTATTGGGGTATTGACGATGAAAAATAGGACCCTAGTACAACGAAAGAAAGTAAGAGTGCCATTATTTCATCCTCTCTGATGGTTCATAACTCAATAAGGCGAAAGACAATTTGTGATATAAGTGGTCGCGTAATGTAGCGTCTAATATCTCAGAAAACGGGATTGCAGGAACTCCTTACTGTTTGTAATCTTGTCAGTCCCATAGAATTCCTGCCATTCGAACACACTTTGCCAACTAATGTAAAAATATAATAACACGTTATGTGAGTCGCTTCCTTTCTTCCTCCTGTAGCTTTGAATATTCATAAGTACATACGCCTCTGCTCGGGTTAAACAACTGGAGTAATGACCTCGATCGTTTAGTTGCGATGGAGCACGTTTATCAGCCGTCATGTACCACTGACCACCAAAAGACCCCTTGTAAAGAAAGATGAAGTGTTGAACAGCTTATCTTGTTTGGTTATGTCGAAATTTCGTTTTCAGCAGCCCATGTCACCATATTATGACCCCGTTCCTTGCCGTAACGTGTGGGACCTGAAGTTTGTAATTGGGATCCAGAGTCGATGAGAATATCCACCAAAAGTATTAAGACATTTATTACTATTGTTGTTTAGAGAATTGTAATTGACATCTTCGAAGTATTGTTGTATCAGCAAATGAACATTCAGTAATTGATGAATGAGCGAATTTTCGTACCATTTTTTGTTCGCTAGTCCTGGTTCGGCAGTTCTGGTTAGTTAATTACACTCTGTCTCACTCCCTGTAAGAAGATTAAAGTTCCGACTGCGCCAACTCTATACATAGGTCTTATCAAAAGGCTGATTGGGGAGGCTCGAGCTGTGGCTTCCAAGACAAATCAGTGTGGAGTGACGTGTAAACATTGAGGTTATTTTAGATGTGAGCTATCTCACAATCGAGACCAACGCAAAGTGATTTGGTAAATGAATATCCTAAAATTCGTTATAAATCTAGATAATTACCCAAACAAATGTTATCACCCAGATATCCAACCAATAACTGTTCAATCAATAGTCAAACAAGAATTACATTAAAATGACAGATTTGTAAAAGATATAAGATGAATACCATGAACAATAAATAGATGTTCCCATTGATACAGAAATGTTGTTCTAGATCTTGTCTGAACGAAAAACATCTAGAACCGCTTCACAACCTTCCGGCGGCTTCTCACCATGAAGCCGGAATAGGTTTTATACATTCAAAAGGCGCTCATTGAAGACAATCGTAGGTCACTTTAAGCGTTTGTGGTATATACACTCAAATGATGTGTGAGTGTCATTATAGTTGATCGTAGTGTATTTGGTACTTCATATTACCCTCAGAACTAAAATTCTACTTAACAGTTACACTGTGATCTACAAAGAAACATCCTTCCAATCAAATACCCGATACTAAGTTGTGGTGTACAATTAGTTAGTCCGCGTTGGCTGTCCTTGCTCCTATTGATTTTCCGTAAAATACTCCACATTTAGCATAATATAGAAACAGTACAACAAGATAGGTAAGTGAATCGATTTCTACAAGATTTTAACATTGGTACTGTCCTACCTGTCCATCCATACACCACTGTAAAAGATTTTGCCGAGATGAAAAAGTTGACTACCTGGATCTAATCATTTTATAGCAGCCGAATGTGCAGAATAATCTCACTTGACTCACAATATTTGAAGTGGCCTTTTATAAGTTAAACATGAATAGAGTGTTAGTTATCTATATGTCTCGTATTAGAGAAATTTATCTGGTTTACAAATGATCCGAAACTATGCCAGAGCACAAAATCAAGTGGGAGTGAAC